TCCTCAATATTCTTCACCCTTTATCCTCGCGGCCACAAGTTAAGTGATAATGTGTCTAGTCAAGGTCAAGTTCTCAGTGAGTGTTTGATGCTATAATTATGTTATAGCTGAAATAAACCAGTTGTTACAGCCTAAGTTATGAGGGATATTCATCGTTCCAACCTGTGGGAATCACTCCCTAGGGCGCCATTCTAAAAAAACGTCCCAACCTAAATCAATCCCAAATGGTGATGTACGAACTCATTCTTTTCAGTAACGGTAAAATAATTGTCGTTCAAACAGCCTTAATTCTACAGACACATAACCGGCAGTAAACTTAAGAGGTAAGAGCCTTAAAAGTAGCCAGCACCTGCGTCGTCCCTCACACAATACTGTCATTAATTCTCCCAGGTAACGACATAACTCTCACCCACTTCCTAACCCCATTCACGTGTTATTTCTTTTTATGTGCATCAACCCAGGACACAGTGAGAGGCCGCCACTGGGAGTACTCGACACCTTTAATACGATATAACTTTACAATACAGTACTGAACTGCTGTCTACTTCATGAACATAAACACCAGCTGTCATTAACTCGCCACCTAATAAAACAAATACAGTATTATAAACAATTAAAAATCTCGGTAAAGAAGCAAAAAATGAATGTTGTGGTACTGGTGCCGTTTTTTTTTTTTTTTTTTGCGGGTCTTTCCTGGAGGGGGAGGCCACGCCATCTCCAGGGAAAACGGGCAGTTACCGTACCGCGTAGCCTACACTAAATCATTTGCCCAACACAATGCCGAATAACCATTATAACCTTCAACGAAGAAATATCTCACACTGTTATTGGATTTAGGGTCTTAGAGGCGTACTAAATTTTGAGCTTATTTTTAAAACCAGGACACGGGTCTCACTCCATCTTTATCTGGGCAAAAAGGTTACCAAGTCGGGTACTACCGCTCAGGGGGACCAGGGGCCAACGTCACGGCCTACTACACGAACAGAGGAGGAGGAGGACGACGACTAAAACAGGAGAGGACGACAAAAAGGGGAGGAAGGGAATGACCAGGATAAAAACAATAGGACGGAAGTGGGATGATGGGGAGGAGATGGGAACAAGACGTAAACACAGTGTCACCTCACTAACTGGCTCCTCAAACACCCCGTAACTTATTTATACACAGTTTAGCAAAGACGTTGAAGTACTTCCACGATATACATAACTCAGAACTTTTGTAACTCCTTTATACAACACGGATATAACACATGGCATTACAGTGAGACGTGTGTGTGTGTGTGTGTAAAAGCGTCCAAGTGAAAGAAAAATCAGTGCCCCTCCAAGCATCTCATAACCTCACAATATTCAAGGATTCACCTTATAAAGCGTCCAAGGTTCGTCCTCAACCAACTCCCACACATCACCCCATGGTACTTTCACGCCAAGTTTCAAGTAGATCTAACAGATAAGATAGTTTACCAAGCGTTGGAGGTATCAGGGGATTCATTTGAGGTTACTATTTAAAGATATCTAGGTCATTATATCAATAATTACGCATTGAACAATGTCATCTAGAGGTCAGGGATTAGTACAGAGACAGACAGCGCAACTCATAAAGGTCATTCCCCAGGTGATGTATGAAAAGAAAACTGACCATACACCATTCTCCTGAGCTGGCAACCATTCCCACACAGCCGCCCCTCACGTGTACAGTACCGCCTCCCCACCACCGTTGTGTTGTATGGTCACTGTGTGTGTGGGAGGGGGGTGTAGGGGGTATATGGGTAGGAAGGGGGTGTAGGGGGTATATGGATAGGGAGGGGGTATATGGGTAGGGAGGGAAGGTGTTGGAGAAGGGGTGTGTGTCGGGGGAAAGGTGTCCGGGGGGTTGAGGGTAACATATTAACAATCATTTCGCTTAGGATCACGTGAAGACTGGACACGGTGGCGCTAAAACATTAACCACCCTACATGTTTTGGCCAGTGCGTCATTGGATGGTAGTGTGGGGGTGTAAGTAGCCTGGATGCGTCTGTCAGTTAACGCCCTCGCCGCACTAGACATGTGATTTAGGCGACATCCAACAAAAAGACCGGCCAGAACGTATACGATGCCGAGTAATAACATTCAGGATACTCACAACCAAATGCACCCAACACGTTACCCCAACAGCCATCTCCTCACCTCTACATCCAAACAGCTATTGATAAAACAATGCTATGCCATGACCTCACAACACACGCAGACAGGGAAGAAATATCGATTTTCTTGTATATATAAAAACAACAACACTGTCTATACCGTAGGCACTAGTCGGGCCAACACTGGCCTGAGAAGGGAGGGAGCGGTACTCAAGTCGCTGGTAAGTCCTTTGGGTTACTAGTGGTGGCAGTGGTGGTTAACGGAAGTGTTGGAACTGTTGGTTGTTGGTGGCAGTTTTGGGTGGTGGTAGTGGCGCCGTCAGTGGCTAGTACAGGCGGTGTTTTTATGACGTGGTCCTAAATTGCGGCAAGGCCAAAGGGGCCGCCTGGATGGTGGCGTGAGTGAGGAGGATGATGGCTATTCAATAGGTGGTTGACAGTGTTCCTGGTCACTGAGTGACAGCAATCCATCTTAACGACCCTTCCATCACCCCCCCGCCTCACCCCCAATCCCACTGCTTCTCCCTCCATCCCCCAGCCTCTCACTCTACCTCCTGCTTCTCCTCACTCCCTCTTTCTTCACCCTTTCTCCCCTTCAACACTACACCCCACACTCTTCAACACTACACTCCCACACTCTTCAACACTACACTCCCACACCCTTCAACACTACACCTCACACCCTTCAACACTACACCCCACAACACTGCACCCCTCAACACTACACCCCACAACACTGCACCCCTCAACACTACACCCCACAACACTACACCCCACAACACTACACCCCACAACACTACACCCCACAACACTACACCCCACAACACTACACCCCTATAACCCAAGGCCCACAGCCCAGCACCTTGGCCAATACACCCAGCTGTTAATGGCTACCTAACCTTACAATCAGGGAAAGCGGTCCACCTTATTTATCGACTAAGTGCCAAGTCTACTGTGTCCTGTATCTACACCACCTAGAATGACTCTTCACCAGCAAGACCCACTTAAAACACATAGCCAAGTGAGAATCAATAAGGGGCATATCGGACAATGTCAAGTATTCCACATTAACGACTCGTGGTCACCAACATCCCGGCCATAATCTCGTAATCATGCTGGAGAAAACACTATAGACAGGGAGTAAGTACAGTAAAAGGAAACCTGTAAAAACTACATACTAGGTAGCATGAGGAGGAGGACAACAAGAAAGAAAGAAGAAGAAGAAAAACCCAAACACCTGCTGCATACTCTAGACACCAGATCTGTATATGGACAACAATAGCTAGTACCTCAGCTTTGAATGGAGGGAGATTGGAAAACAGGAGCCAATATATAAGGACAACTGGATACAATGAGGTACTCAAGGTAATAAGAATGGTGAGATATGGTTAAGTAGTGGGGGTAGGTAGAACAAGTGACTGGGGGGAGGGAAGGGGAAGAGAATGGGAGGGGTCAGTTGCTGCATAAGGACATCACAGCACAGGGATCGCTTGAGACAGCAGGTTTGAATCAATGAAGGGAGGTGCAGTAATAATGACAGGAGTGTCCCCTGAAGGCCATATAGCTAATAAAGGCATACTGTATATTCAAGTTTGGTTTATCCAGTACAATATGGATAAAAAAGATAAAATTGTATTATTTTATTTAACTAATACACAAATGGGTGGTGGATGCCTTGGAACAGCAGACACGAGGGTAGGACACCACACTGGCCCCCTGAAGGGAGAGTGGATGCAACATATTGTACATATAAGACAACTCCCAGTACTGTATGTATGGGTTATTACAAAACAACTGTCCAGCACGTGAACCTTCTGTGCTGTACACATGTCCCGGTTGGACTACAGTAAAAGGAACTCACCCGAGGCCAGGCCTGACCCAGCAATCATAGAACTACAAATAATGGAACTTCAGAGACTGTGTCTGACAGAAAGATCAACAAACCTGCGCATTAAGACCAGTCAATATTCCAGCTCACTCTGCCAACATGGACCCAAACCACTGATAAACTGTAAACATTCTTATAAATAATATAAGACAAATGTTCACCTTACTAGCCTGTACAGTATTAAGAAGGCTAACAGTTCATTATTATCAATAATGGAACTGTGACTTGTTTTTCTACAGTAAAAGCAAACCAGGGCAGAGTGGATCAAGCATGACCAATCACATAATCTAGGATCAGAAGAGAAAACTGTTGAGCTGAATCCAGATTCACTCTGATTTCCTGATGGAATGGTTGTCTTGGTGTGGAGTGTGCTGATTGGGCAGCCAAACCTCCAATGAGATTCCTGCAGCTCCCTCACCTGAGGCTGGCAATGCAGGGGAAAGAAAGAAGTGAAGCTATGGCTGTCTATATGTCTTGGCACTATAACAGCTGTTAATTCACTAGGTGCAAATGGTCTTGTCTGATCATCATCAATCTTAAGACTGCAATTTATCATTATTGGCTGTAAATATTTCAAGCGGAGAGCTGACTCAACAAGTAAAGAAGAAAATGTTCCATGCTCCATGGAGGAGGTAACAATAATATACAATGGGACACTGTTGGTAGGCAGGACTTGATGCCTCTACGGCAACCAACAAAAACACAGACTAAAAATAGCCATAATTCAACCACGTGTGGGAAGTTGTGGTTCAACATGATTCCAGCCAAGGTCTTCTGGCTAGGTACCTAAGTCTCACATTTCAGAAGCATCCCCCAAAAAATTACTGCTTGATTTTCCTTGAGACATTTAAAATATTTACTTAGAGACAAACTTCCATTCAAGTGTATAAATACCTTAACAGACAAGTAGTAAACTAATTTTACTCTTCAAAAACTGAATCACTTCAGCAAGGAAAGGAAAAATTAAAGATTAATGCATAAGTAAGAGTAAAAAAGAAAGAAAGGCAACACTCAGAAGCACAGAACACAAGAGAAGAACATCAATAAATAGGAGATTCTGGAATTTTCTTTTTTATCTTGTGCTACAAGAATAGAACACCTCTTGTACAAGGCTCTTGAAGGAGCTCTTAGTGTCGCCTACATTGTCCGTGATGTGTTGCCCTCACTGTGATTACACCCACTTTAGAACAATACAGCTGCACTTATATCATCACTCAGAAATGAGCAGCAGCTTAACATACCCACAATCCACCACTATAAAATGATTAAGCCGCAGGGCAAATACCTAAGTAAGTGTTACCCTTAACACGGAGATGGCCTTTATCACCCATCCACGAGCTACTTCCATCCAGAATGGCCAAAAACCTGTCTTTTTTGTAGTCAGCTTTATTCAATGCACAACAGGATATATCAAACTAAAATTAGATATCCATCACAGACCAAACCTCCACAACACCTGACTTTGACCTCTAAACTATATTCTTTAAAACTAGATACAGTACTTTATGATCTTCCTTGACAGTGGTGCCATAATCCTGACAGGCCATTTAGACCAGTGTTGATACAGTACACTAAATACCAAGCCTTCAGGAAACAATGTGGTCAGCACTGTACTTGACTGCTTTCACTTCCCCACCAGGTAATTTAGGTACACATTCACAGAGGGGTGAACTGGGGGTGCCTTAGGGTAGAACCAGCAACCCACAGTATAGGAGAAGAGTACTGGATAGTGTATTTACCCAGTCTTCACGCACCAGTTCTTCTTTGGTCAGCTCTAAAACCAAAATGTTCATCTGTTTTCAGGCTATGTTCAAAAGCTTATTACAGTATATGTATTCCTGAACATGCTGATTAAGGATCTCTTGTCCGCAATTTAATATCTGTACAATTACTTGTCCAAATGACATCACAAAATTTTTAATTACTTTTCTAACGCTAATTACTCGCCACCTATGGTTTTTCGGCCACTGTACCGAGACATGAAACAAGTGTAATGCTTCCAAGTGGTAATTCAGTGAACTGTATTAGTCCCACAAATACCGCTGGCTTTATTTATGACTTCTGTCCTTATGCTTTCTGGAGTTTCTTGGTCAACTTCATTTAAAAGTTGGAGCCAAGAGGTATTATTTTTACTTGCTATTTCAGGCCTTTCCTGTTAACTTCTGCACCTGCCCCTGATCCACCCCACATAACAACAGCAACAAGGGAAAGTTAATCGAGATGAATATTATTAACCCATTCACTACAGGATGACAACTTTAACATTTTATTTGACGAATGTCCGACGATATTATTCAGCACAGTGACCTCCGTACCCTAGGGATTAATTAACCCACGCACTGTTGACTCTACTTTGCTACAATGGTTTCAACCTTTTCTAAGTTACTAACTCCTGGGCACTTACAACACTTTCCACACAAACAGGTGATAGCCACATCTTACAACTTCATCCAGATAATTCTTGATAACTCGTTTGAATATATTTATGTCAACAAGGCAATGCAGTATTTAGTATGTACAAAAAAATACAAACACCTGAATTTACCTTATTTCAATATTTACCTTATTTCAATATTTGGTGAAATTTAACACTATACAAGACACATACCTGGAAAGGAAAGAGAAAGCACATTAGCTAACATCAAAATTAAAAGTATCAGCATTGGTCCTATAATGGTTATTACCCTCATTAGGTCTATGATGACCACCATGTCATGTCTTGAATAAAGGAGATAGAAAATACAAAAGTTGACCCTTCCACCACTTAGTAAGACTCTCCACTTGTAAAAGAAAAAAGTTTTAAAAGGAAATGTGTGTTGTCACTCAAGACAGACATCACTGGACTATATAATTATTCCTGAACAGAACATCCATTCTCAAGAGATTTCGTAATGCAGCAACTTAATCTTACTCAGGGTAAGAAAATATGACCGGCTTTTGCCCTTTGGTTTGTATAACGAGTGGGACAACAAGTATGAGTTGCTCCATCAATGTGGAATTAGTCCTGTAATCCTATACTCCAGCAGAGGTCACACCCAGGTGACTTGTGATATGGGCTGCTTATTGAGGGTTCTGTATCCTAAGATAACCTCCCCATTATGTCAGCCAGAATTGATTTGTTAATGAATTTAGATATATAGTACAGAGCACTCCTGTATCAATTACCTTCCCATAAAACCCATCATCCCTTAACAGTGGAGATGAGGGGTAAGACACACTCTCTGGAGGCAGGGGGTCTTATTTTGAGCCACATCATCTTAATGAGCTCACTCACACCATCCAGGATTCCTGAATTCCAAATCTATGGTCCATGATTCGATTGAAGGGTAATTAGTGATCATAATGATAGTTGGAAGATTTTAATGACTTTTTCAATGCTATTTACTCGCCAACTATGGGTTTGTGCGGTGCGATTTTGGTGCTTTTGTGTAATTTTGAAATTTCAGTAGAGCCTCGATAAATCGGACCAGTTGGAGCAAACCCCAGTCTGAAAAATGTGAAAGTCCGAATAAAGTAAATCTGGGGGATGGGGGCCTTAACTGGACTGTTTAAAGAAAATTGTGAGTTGTTACTGTGTTATTACTGCACTTCAACAACTAAGGTCTTTGAGTGCATAACAAGGCTATTAAAACATTATTATATCAACAATAAAAAATATGAAACAGAAATCTCTGGGTTGAAAATCAGATATAAGTCTGGTTGTCGACAACTGTTTTCACCGAGATGAATGTTACGTACTGTAAAGTGTTATTTGTAAGTATCCACATTATTTGTCTTATGAATAAAGAGAAAACCATATACCTGTACATTACAGTAATATAAAGATAAAAAATAAAAGGGTAGAGGTATACTGTGTGTGGGAGATGAGAGTGATCTGGGAGCAACAGACAGGGGCGGGGGGCTCCCTCCCCCAAGATTCCTTTAACACGTCTTTATGCAATTTCACCATAATTCTCATATCATTTAGGTTCCTTTGGTACCAGGCTGATAAAATATTATCATAAAAGAATCAAGTTTCCTGAAAAGAAAAAAGAAAAAAAAAAGAATCCCACACTTAACACCATGAGTCATTTGTTTACGAAGGGCAAACAGTTGATCAGCTTAGCTTCTTCACCACTAATGCTTACTACAACATGTCTTCAGCACACTGGATATTAGTACAGTACTGCAGTGTATTTATCATCACTTAATAAATAATATTGCAGTGTATTTATGAGCACTTAATAAGTAACATTGTAGTGTACAGTATTATGCATTTGCACATAGTAGCCTAGTTTATTCATTAAACAGGTACAGGGTATCTTCATATTAAACACTGTACTGTACAGTGATGTAAGCTGATTAGCTCTCATACCAATGCATCCTGAGTGAATAACTTCCAATACAGCCTATCCTATTATTTTCAAATCAAATTACAAATTAAATATTACATTTTTTCTCTATTATTGAAGCTTTTATATTAATCATAATGAACCATACACCGGAAGAGGCTGATCATATGAAAATATAATACCAAATCAATAAATAAACCCGACTCATTCGGCAACGCCCGATAACCCCCAAAACTCCAGCTTGCTTACATATGCAGTGTCTTGGCTCTCATTAAGCCTACTGTAAATCTGAATAGATCATTTTACAGTATTCAGTGAGCAAGTGCTGTTCTTTTCTTAAGATTTTTTTTTTTAATTTTACCCATTTCTTAAAATATATTTACTTACATAACTTTAACCTATTTCTTAAAACCCTTTAGTATTCCCATTAAAGATACTACGTACCCTACAAAAAAAGTTCACGTACATGAGTGTAGGTAGCGAGGTGCAAGACACTGATACTATACAAGTACGTATATATGAGGGCAGGACTCGGAGTGATACGTACACGTGCCGCATGACATCCACACACAATGTTCAGCCCCATGTACAAATACACAACCCGTCCAGACTGATGCTGGATTTTTCACCCCCTTTTTTCTTAATATTTCTGGTCACCTCTGAGTCCCAAAAAAACCGAATTCCAATATAAAGAAGTCCAATTTATCGAGGTTTTACTGTATAAGAGCTGGGAGAGCACCAAACTCCATATTTCTCTCTAACCAAACAGTTCTCCTTCAGTGTTATCCTGAAACCTCTGGGGAAAAGTAAACTGTGAATAACTAGACAGAAGCAGTCCTCCATTCACAGGTTGGTCAGCCAGTACCATGCAGGCCACAACCAAAGACCTAATACAAGGTAACTAACCTACACTACCAAATAGACAAGGACATGAAAGAGTGAGATCCTGGGTTGATGATCACTGTAATCATTAGTCAATGACTAAATGTTCCAGGAAATTGCTTAGTATTCTATTGCAAAAGTCATAAAAGATACAAAAAGAGCTAATAATTATATATCTAATATAATCACCAACATCCACAGAACAGATGGCAATCCCAATAACCACCGAATCACCATATTCCTAGTATATAACTGGAAGACCAGACCCAACAAACATTATAACTGGGAGTCTCCACAACATGTCAGAATACAACTACAGCTGGGTAGCATAAGAACTCGAACAATATCTTGAAATACAGTACATAAACTGACTCAAGGTACCTGACATATAAACACAACTAAATTAACAACAACTGGATGTTGTATTTATGTACATGAGGTACTAGGAATCTATAGATAAGTTTGAAATTGCCCCTTACATGTTATGTTTTGATTTAAAGTATTTTGTTGGAAAAATATATTTTGAATTCTTTGTATATATTTACCATGTATTTATACTTTTGTCAGTAAACTACTACTTGTAAAAAGCAGTAGTGTTAGATGGTGTAAGAGAACATCACTGCGATAATTTATTCAACGTTTTATCTACAGTGCCATGATAGTACAGTATATCAAACCAAACATTACTGAAATCTATCAGTAGTGAGGAATACTAAACTACATTATGTTTATTGTAAACATACAATATCTTTAGTGCATGGCGGAGGAATCAGCAGTTTGGAGGCAGGTGACTGTCATGTTTAATCAGTGGGAAGAGGCACCCATCTAATGCACTTACAGATCTGTCTTCTAGGCCAAAAATATCAAGTCAAACACAAGCAGCATAAATCTTCCATTTTGATGACTACGCTACACACTGTATATACTGTACTATATAGTTTCCACTGCCATATCAACCCTTGAACTTACTCCTGTTAGGTTAGGTTTTGGAGTTGAAATTCTTTGGGCTCGAGTACATCTCAGTACTGTATATAACATGGGTTTTATGGGGTTGAGACTGTCACACAATAGGTCCCGTTGAGTGAGAATAAATTAAAGCCTGAATGAAATCCATTACCAACATGATAATGTACAGGAATGAGAGCATTAGAACAGGAGTTCAACCATTACACCCAAGTTGGCCATGAGAATGTGATCAGTTCCCATGGTTAATGTCCTAACATCTCTTAAGAGCATATTTTCCATATTATAATAAGAGTCAATATAAAATTAATTTCAGATATACTATTTATAAAATATGAGCAGTACATACAGTACTGTACAGTATTGGAAAGAGCATCAGGTCTTACCACTTATATCTTGTTACTGTTGGAATGAACAAGCATACTGTACTCATAACTTTGTCCTACATATTGGTTCTTATAACCCTTAAGCACTGATGCTATAGGAAGATAAATAATAATTTCTTGCCATTTTATTTCTTAACTTACTTATCCCACATTATATTTACTACAAGGCAGGATAAAAATAAATAAAAATTGTGTCTAAATTATAAAACTAGCCATTGTTGGTGTTCTCCCTTTCACTTGGGGCCCCTCACTCTACTAAGCAAGTTGCCAGAAGCCAAACAAATGCTAACTACTGATGTTTGTAAAATGTTCAATAATGTACTGATTTTTTTATTATTCATCAAAAACTCTTTATTCCATACTGTTTTTTTATTTCCTTACAAGTCCTACTGATCCAAAAGAACTTAACAAAGAACATCATATCTTTTAAAAGTAAAGAACTAGGCAATGAGAGACTATTATCCCTCCAGTGAGGGCCTCTGCTGCTACTTGACGTACATGTAGCTACCAGCATATTACAAATGAAGATCTTTTTGAAACATGGCTGCAATCTATCTGATAATGATTGAGAAATATGGTACCATATAACCCACAATAATTAACAAATTCTGAAACACTAAACTGAATACTGAATTTCAATAGAATCTTGCACTCCATAAACCTAATAAAACAATCTGCTAAAGCTGAAAAAGGTTAATAAAATGAAGCCAAAATTTAATGAACATGAACAGAGTTCCCATTTACTGTCTAATAATGTATACACTTGGACACGTGAAAAAGATGTGTACACACCTGAGTAATCTGTTATGTCGGGTAGGTCATGACTGTCACCGTCCTCGCTCATGTAGCCCGGCGGTGGGGATTCGGTGGCGGGGAAAGTGGGTTGTGGCTCTAGCGTGGGAGCTACTGAGGTAAGGGAGGCAGAGTCGCTAACACTGTCTGCTGTGAGGTCAGCGAGGGAACCCAGGTCCTCAGCCGAGCCGGGGTCAGAGCCCGAGCCTCCCACACCTCCACTACCACCACCACTACTACTACTGCTGGTGCTACTCCCCCGAGGTACCAGGATTGCTGGCAGAGCTGAAATCAAATACAAGAACTGTAAAATGCTGTGTTTTTCAGTGTCTTCAGTTAAATCATCTAAATACTTACACAATCCATCTTCAAGTCGTACATCCAGTGAGAAAAATTGATGCATAATAATTCATTAGAGTAATTGTACATCTGAGACACATACAGTACTGTATAAAAATTCACAAGAGTAATCTGATAGGTGAACATGGGCTTTACAAACAAAATCTGAAGATATAATGACAGTTTGAGGAGCTTCATCAATCATCTTCAAAGTAAATTAGAAAGCAAATACCCAAGGGCAGGGAGAGGTTTTCAGTGTTCTCCGCAGCAGGAGTCACAAACATAAAATTGATGTGGTACAGAAATGGGCTAAGGCTTTTCCTTTTATAAAGCAAACATTAACTGTGTAGATAAAATTTGTAATAACAAATGCATGTAAGAACTATTTATCATGTATTATTACCTAATGTTTTCACTATCAAGCCAACTGCAACTATAATACAGAATGGCCAGAATCAGGAGTACAGTACACACACACTTTTCCTTCAGTGGTTCTCTTATCATACATTCATTTTTAATCCTTCGTTTTCTGCAGACATTCCTCTTACAAAATAAGGTCCCATATATCTCTCTGGTCCCTTCGCACAACCTTGCATCACGCTTTAGCAGTGAGCCAATCCTCAAAAATCATCCACACGAGGATCACTGCTCTCCAATTGTCCATCTTCATTTCAAGTTCCCTTAAACCCATCCCTCCATATCCTTCCCGATCTTCCCTTCTCCTTCCTACCACACACACAAACCTCTGAATTACTCCAACTTCTTAGCAATTTTTCAGTTCCCCTTCATTCAACATGTTCATACCACCTCATCAGTACATAATTCATTCTCTCCTTGACACTGTGTATTTTCTATTCTTTGCATCCCACTAATTCCCATTTTATTCTTAAGCACACAAGTTCTGTTACTTTTATTATGCTCCTTCCTCTTGCATCCTGTCTTTGCTTCAGACCAAACTGAAAAATAGATCAGGTCAGCTTTGCAGTAAATGGCAACTTTGGCATCAGCCGCTAGACCAGGGGTGGGCAAAGTACGGCCCGCGGGCCACATTTGGCCCGCCAATTTATTTCTGTGGCCCGCCACTGCATTTGGCAATTAGAAAAAAAATTCTTATTAATTACAGAAAGGAAAATTTTGGAAGTTGGGTGGACATAGCAGCAATACACATTAAGTGTGTGGCCCGCAAAGTGTGCCACCATTCATGAAGTGGCCCTCCATCAAAAATAATTGCCCACCCCTGCGCTAGACAATGAAAAGGCCGAGTAATTTTGTTTAATAGGAATGGAAAGTACTACCATAATGATGATGTTACAAAACATTGACAATGGCAAGAACATAATTATGTATTGCACCAAAAGGCCAACACATAATATATGTAGGTTAAGAGTAATGACAAAACTTCCATAATGAGGTAAAAGTGATCAAAGCTGATATGTACAGTACAGTACTTACAAATTGAAAGGCTGATTTATCCTCATATATGTAGAGTAGTTAAAATAACCCTTGTGCACTTAACAATAAAATGAACACACTAATGGGTACACTAGCCATGGTGGAACAAAGCTTTGGTGGATTAGTTAGTTAGCATCATACCATGTGAGTGAAGTAACCCACAAGTCGAAGTATTAGGGGATTAGCACTAGTCCAATTTCCTGCTATACTTTTTGCCTAGTCTTTACTTCCCCCAATTTATACTAATCTCACCTCATTTCCCTTGCCCCTTCCTCCTGTCATGTAAACACATTTCAGTCTTAATTTTAGTTTTACAAACAACAGATTGGGATTTCAGTGTCATTATTACTGGGTATTGTTATAACAGTTTCTCCATTCTTAATATGTCTTTTAATATGCTTAAGAACTATGAAAGACTTCTATTCATATCTACTTCACTTTTACTCCACCTAGTACTGTACAGTACAACATAAGATATCAAGATGTTGAGATTAATGAATTTGTTTATGACCAAGGCCTCCTCCATCCCCTCCTTGAAACCACATTATGGTTCGGTTCAGTGGTACACAACTATTAAGCAGAACTTGTTTATCACATAGAGATGGTACAAACATACACAAGTTGAAAACAGGCACATAAAGTGGCCTTGGTATTACAAACAAGGACAACACAAACCTTTTTTGACCACTCACAAAATGAATCAACCAACACAAATCTATCTTATCCTAATGAGCTTACAAAATCTTTTTAAAGTAATTACAGATGCATTTCGCTTCATTTCTAAAACCTTATTGTAAATTACACAGTCCCTCTCTCTCTCTCTAACACAATATAAAACAAAATTTTGCAACACAACTTAATTACAGCCATTGTCTTTCACCGCCTCAATGAGTATATCACCTTCAATTTGATATTTAAGTGATGGCTTTGTGGGGTCACTTACAGGGAGGATTGGTGCTGTTAATATCACTTACTGCTCACTTTCCTGACACCTCTAGAAATTGGGTAAATAACTTGGAAAATACAAGTAATTGCTGGAGATTTATACTGAAGCCTGGAGCTGGATTCAAAAGGAGAAAAAAAAAAACAGCAGGGATAATAAAGGAAGGAAGGAAGGAACATAAAAAAGCTTGCTGAAAAAACTAAAGATAATAAGATCCTGTTTGAGGCAGAATATGTGACAGAAAAGTGGACAGTGTGTAGGGAACTGTACTGTACAATGATAGAGATAAAGCAGCAGTACAGTATAAAACAAAAAGGAAATACAGTATAAAATAGTAGAGATCATCTCTCTGATTATACAGTACATAATAGAACTACAAATGGATAAGGCCAACAGTAAAAAAATACTGAAACTAAAAAAAATGAAACGATATTTGTAATTGTAGTAAAATATAATTGTATGCTCATCATTATGCATAATACCCACTCTTACTGGGATTACATAATTTTAATTGTACTGTAATAAAAAATTAATATCTTGTAATTGAAAACTGCAATAGAAATCAACAAATTTAACTAGCCCTATGTTTAGTATACATATACTGTACAGTACAAGCATCAGGGTTTGTGTCAACACATTACCCAGTTAATTGTTGTTAATGCTGTCCAATAAATCTCTCATTACTTGAATTATTTCTTTCCTTCTGCATCAGTGCTGAGCTCACATACAGGATTCTCCAACATCCTGAACAAACGTGATGCAAAGAAGGTGGAAACGGGGGGGGCCTTGTAAACCCATGCCAAACACAGTGATAGGTCAATGGACAACACTAATAACAATATATGTACTGTACAGTACTGTATACAATCTAACACTTGGGCAGTAATTTTGAAAGCAATAAACATTTATATCTACCTACTGCAGTGAAAGGGTAAAAAATATAAAAATTATACAGTACTGAACAGTATTTCCAATCTGCAGTGAATGGGGAATATTTAGAAACATTTACAATCTGCAGTGAAACGGTTAAAAGGAATGAAATAAAGTATATTAAGTTAAATGGCAATAATCCCCAAGATAACGAAGTCCAAAGTGACCTGCTGCAACTAAGACCTTGGTCCAAATAAGGATAAAAATGCAGTCTATCCCTAAAAGTGTGGAAGGCAAAATTTAAAATTTTTACACTAAATGCAAAATATCAGAATTCTTATGAAATCTACTGCCCTCTCGATCAAACTGGAAATCCTAAGTAAAACTACGTTAGCTATGAGATGATTCAACATAATGCTAATTAGCTTCTAACAAATTCTTACATACAGTAGTACCAATAACTATGCAAAAATACCATTTACATACCCATGTTACACCATTAACACTTCCCATTATACACTATTTAGCAGTAATCCAACATATGCAAACATTCCTAACTCATTCATTTAAGTACTACAGTACTGTTTATACTAACCTGGAGCCTCTATTTTGGTGTAGTGGTAAGGGTTGACACAAACTTCCTCCTTTTTGAGGTTGAAAGCGTACTGGCAGTGGTCGAGTGCACGGAGTTCGTGGTGGCTCTGTAATTCAGGCCAGCGCCACAGTCGGCAATAGATAACATGCGGCAGTCCTTTTTTGTGAGAGACCTGCAGCCGCCCATCCAAGGACCTGAAATAGTGCACAATGTTATAACTACTGTTTATGTTCTTATTTATTACAGTAATGTACTCTGTATTAATGATGCAGGGTAACAAGAGCCAAATGGTATGTACAGAGTCTGGGAAAAAAAAAAAAATTGCCAATAGTTCCACCTTGCTCTGGGATTAAATCCAAGACCAAACACTTTTGAGGTGAGTGTACTCTCTCTCTCACTCTCACTCTCTCTCTCTCTCTCTCTCTCTCTCTCACACTCACTCTCTCTCTCTCTCTCTCTCTCTCACTTTCATTTTCACTCACAATCACAATTGTTGACATAAACTGGCACACATTCTGAAACAGCAGATGAACTGTACTTTTCCAACTCCAAGAAACATTGTAAGACATACTGTACAATAATCTGCATCTGTTTCTTATCAATGTTGTGGTATATGTTTCTGAGTTATCCTATTACTGATACCTTTACTGTCTGTACTGAACAGTACAAGATAATCACTATCATTGCCTTATCAAAGTCTCAATGCATGTTAAGCGGTTGTCTTGACATTGAGAAGACCTTCAATCAATTTCCATGTTCTTAATAAATTACCTGTATAAATACATCGATATTAAAAGAAATCCTCTTACAAATAATTCCCGCAGAAATTTAAATTGTCAAAGACTGAAAAGCGAAACAAGATCTATGTGCAAAATATGTTTCAGTTATGGAGACTAACATGCTAAACTAGAGAGATATGATGAAATGTGAAAGAGAAAGAGAGAAAAAGTGCCAGAATGAAAAAGAGGAAAAAGTTGAACTGGAAAATGAAACTGAAAGGATATGAGAAAGAGAATGTAAAGAGACGATATGAGAAATCACTAAAGAGAATGAAAAACATGTAGAAAAGAGAAAGAAAAAACGACAAAGAAAAGGACAGAGCAACAAATGACATCTACAAATTTTTTTTCGCTAAAATCAGCAAATGTGCATCGGCAGAAATGTAGGTTGAAAGCAGATGATAATTCATTTTCACTCGATTTTGCTGCCAGTGAGATATTTCAACTCCTGAGGCACTTCTGAACAACTTATTTGATTAGGTTTGAATTTATTTAAAAGATTCATACAATAAAAACATACAGACAAACATTTACAGCAGACACCACAAAGAATATATAATGCTTATTTGCATTGTATACAATGCAGTCGTCATTATGTTTCTTGTTTATTTAATCTTATGCTGACTGGACTCTACTGAGAATGTAACAATTCCATTCATAACAAAACATTACTCACAATGCCTAGAGGGTAAAAAATTTCCAAGTTTAGCATTGGCACCATAATAAATTCAGAACCACAATTTTTTCACAACTTATTTTTTACAAGTATTTCACAAATCTATAATCTTCCAATGCATACTGTATAGTACAGTAATTACAGTATTTTTCTTTTTATTACACCACTGCATATCCACCATCAGTGCTTAGACAAATTTAAGGAAACCTTCACAGACCAAGCTCTTGATTTTTATCTCAGACCACTGAGTAATAAATACAAGTTCAGCAGTGCTCAGTGGTTCATCACTGGTGTGGGAATTAATAGAAAAAGTAACTATGCAGTGGGAGGCTCCAGATTCAGTCTGTAAACTTGGCTACCATAGAAAACAACAGCTACTCAACTTCACAATAAGACATGAAGGAGTTTTTTACGTTCTATGGCTCTACCCACTGGTGACAACCATTTCTTGTGCAAACATTCATTACAGTATTTACATACAGTATAGCCCATTTCTCCCCCCTTCAATATTAATACCCCATACCATGGACAGGGTGTTAAAGAAGAGGGAAAATGTGGAGGTTAGGTTAGTACTTGTAACACTACTGCAATTTTTTTGTGTAGGGATCGGACGTTTGAAACATTGTAATCAGCAGCCGAGAAGTGAAAAAACACTTTAACCATATAAATTTATAAAAATAAGGTAAAATATTATGTTTTATGTGTTTTAACCCAGCAATTTCTCTCTTCAATGCTCTGTCCACTTTGTGGGGTATTAAGCTCTTCACTACGAGTACACAGCTTTTAATATTTTATTTGGATAACGCCAGACAATTTTTTTCAGCACAGATGGAATCCCATATATACAAGCAGGTGATATTGAAGGAGAAGTAGGCCATGACTAAAATATGAGTCATCTGCACAAGAAGGTAATAGTGGAGGAGAGGGTCGGCTCCTGAAGGAGTTTATAGAATTTTGTCATATTTTCCACAGGTGTTGTTCCTTTAATATTCTTTCCCCTTCCGTTTATCTCTATCTATGGGCAGGGCATGGAAGAGGGAAATCATTACAGGGTAAAGCAGATCATAAGCCAGTAATTTCATGTCTCTCTGTGATTTGTACGCAAAGAATTAAATTTTTTTAATACCCTAAAAATTCCGCTGACATTTTCCCATGGCAATGTTTGTAGTCGTCGGCTCTTAAATTAAAATTCTGTGAATCTGTTCTTTGTAAACATTTACAAGTAATGACAGAGCCTCACATCGGGGATCGTCTTTTGTTTTAAAATCTTATAAGCTTTAGTTTCCTGGTTTTCTTGTTTATGGTCTGAGCAAATGTCTTTACTTTTCTTGTCTTGCACGTATAGTTTTTTTACCTATTCTATGTATAAAGGATGAGATTCATAAAGGTGGGACGACATGCAAGTGTTCAAAATGCAGCAGAGAGGCGACAGTGAACCAAAATGTGTTCAAGTGCATCAACAGATCATACTCCAACATCCACAAAAGACGTGCGTTGTCGTTTCCATGTTCTTGTTTAGTATCGTGCTGTTCCCTGTAAATAAATAAAATAACATCTATAAACTCCTTTGGGCTCTAACTGTCTCCTCCACCATTATCCAATACAGTCATCACCAGTGCATAGAGAAATAAAACACCTCTGTAAACACCGTGGCTCGTTACTGGGTGGAGGGGCGGGTGTTTTCGATGTATTTACTGTTAACTGTGAATAACACACTTGAGGTGACTAAATTGTTTACAAACCAATTATTAAGGCGGCACCGATAACCTCAAGACATTACCGCCTACTATACCATCGCTAAATAAGGTGACGACAACAACAGTATACCAACAGTACCGTAATATCTACGACAGTCTTCATTATTGCTCGCGTTTAACCATTTTCTGTAGCATAGATCGTGACGATACATTTTTTTTAACGATAGGTCAACCAATACAAGAATCCCAGACAACTAAGCATTGCTAATTTATGGATTGCAATACATAAGTTTGTGATAAATGTAAACATAACAGCACTGACACTCACTAGGGTAGAGTGGGCCAGAGTGACAGTCATACAAGTAATATTGTCAATAGACCACACCATCCTACCTTGAGTGTCCTTTGTCTACTAAACTCTAACAAGGTGGTACAAACAACCCTTCGAGCTACCCAGGTACACGAACGACCAAACTAAGTGTTGTTTGTCAAAGGTTAATGAATTAACCTGATGGAGTGGTGTGGATAAGCTTACTATTAATAGTTGTGGTAGTGTGGTAGGTTGAGAGGTAGCATGTGTGAGGTGTGGAGCGAGTGCCAGTCAGTGCCAAGGGCGAGGGTGTACCTGGGGATGGTGATGCAGCGGGTGTTGGCGTCCTCGGTGGTCACGGCTGTCTCCAGCTCTTCCAGACCACCTGACTTTTTCAGTTTCTTCACTAGGCTCTTCACCGCCTTCTCACTCCATTTGTCCTCCCCTTCGCCCTTCTTAAAACTCAGCAGTCTCTTTACTACGGGCGGTGTAAAAGGCAACATAGACATTTTCAGCGAGACCTACACGGCCGCCGCTGCCTGGTCTCCACCACAGCACCAGGGGAGCCGATCAGTGTCACAAAATAAGAGGAGTGCCACGAAGCTAGCAGGGTGCCACGCTCACCAGCTGACCGCCTCTACAACTCATCAGGGGGCGACATGTTTGGGCCGCACTACCACCCTGCCAGACAGTACCCTTCCGCAGAGCCTAGTGCCAAGTCTACACTCCTCCGATTACCTTACCTTTCCTTGTCATCTGAATCTAAATTAGTTCTGGTTTATGTGGGTGTGCTTTCTGCCTTAGACACGTTATTGGTGAATAACTTCTTACTCAATATACCTGATTGTTTTGATGTATTCCTCCGCACTTAAGAACATCGAAGTACAAAATATGTCATGCAACACTTGAGTCCGACTTTCTTTTATTGAAATTACTGCCTTCTGTAAGAGTAAACACTGTACTACATTGACTCAATTGTTAGATCTAAATTTGCTTTATTAAACACTATGCGGTATTAGTGATGACAATCTGTGTATCGGTAAAAAATACGAGATAAATATAGGGCTAAATATTCCATTCCCTTCATGCGAGACTGAACGTGATCAATATACACCTGTACAGTATCGGGGACACCTCACTAAATCATAGAAGGCCTTTTATAATTCTTGTTTTCTTTACAACGTCTGTATATTCGTCGCCGTGATTAAATAATACAGAAATAACTACAGAAAATGACACACCAGGGATCCTGCAATAAACTGGCCAAGACTGTACAAAGAGTATTATCAATTAAATTATACCCACAACAGTATTATATCAGCTGTGGCAGTAATATGTTCTGATAAAGCATAACTTACTGTACCGTATATATAACAATGAGAGTAACAAAAACAAACACCGTTAAATTATCGCACTGGTTACTGTACTTGTCAAACTCGTGTAATATTACTTAGTCGCTGGTGTTCCCCCTGGTATAAGGCACACATATACTGAGCTATCATTTATCAAGTTAAGTATGTTGAAATGTGTCGAGTTTGTACCATCATTAAGTTACACAAAGACTTGGTCCGCCTCCAACACTTAATATAATATAAGATGAATTTATATACAGGAAATAAAGCTAAATGGTTCAAGTTGAATTTTTTATACATTCATTTAAGTTGTATACGTATACAACCCAAGTATTAAATAACAAGTCAGCACGCAAACTTAGATATGTTATATTTTGATTCTTATATATGAAAGCAGAATATGACAATGCCTTTTATCTGTATATAATATTTCAAATTAAACCCGAGACAAAATATAGGCAAACTAATCTTCCATTTTTACGATAGTGAAGAACAATGAAAACTCCTGAAATCACGTCCTCGGCGCACGTAACCCATTCATTGCCTCGCGCATGTGTAAGGATTTATTTTCTTATTTCAAATAATAATTTTTTCACTTCTGGGTAATGAGTGTTCTTACTTCAACTATTCTAATTAGCAAGTAATGCATCTCATCACTGGTATCAATTAATCCCTTTACACGACTAATAACATGTAAGATTGCAAACATATAAACATTTTGGCGGGAATATGATACGTCAATGTTACACCCTCGGGGGAGGTGGTTCAGCAGATTCTCAAGGGTTCGCACGTTAAATTCTTCCCCGAAATGGACGTGTGAGAATGCATCAAATTGGGTGAATTATGTTACGGCACAAAAATAGTCGTCAGTGTGCTGGATGAAACTTGTCCTCACTGAGGTGTAAACCCTGGACTTGCTATGCGCAACTTGTTCTAAGATAAGTTACGTATTATGTAAATAACATTGATTATATGTTAAAGGAATATCCTTCCTTCCTTAGGCTTTAGTAAGCCCCTTTATAATATTTATACTGTATATACTTGTCGCACTCGCCAGATGCTTCTGGTGTCATTGTACAGGGGTACCTAGTGACAGCACTAGGATCCCGCTTCCTCTATCAAGGAATAAACAATTGAAATTGAAAAAATTGAATTGATAAGGTACGTGCAAATATACATTAGGTATGATTAGCTTATTAATGGTCATACAACAATAAATTGTGTATAGATCTGGACAAACAAAACAATATCATAGCGGATATACTGTATATTGAGCTAGGGACTACCAACATCCATCCATCACATGGTCTCGCTGAGTGTAGGTCGCCCAAACATGAATGTGCAGCACCTTGCTTATACTATATATACACTTAACTTCTAATTAAGAAACTCTGGATAACTACAATAAGTCCAGAAGCATCTGAACGATTTTTTTAATCAAAATCAGTACAAGAGAAGTTTTGTCCAGTGTTTCACAAAAACAAGTACTGTAAAGATATCTACTGACCAAAGTATCCAAAGCAAGTTCTTGGGTACTTTATCTGACCGTATAAAGCATTTACATACTTTTCACATCAATTCCAACTGCATTTTGAATTTTCTCAAACAACAGATACACTGTGACTCAGACACGTTGCACATCATTTATGCTTAGTGTTAGTAGTCTTAGTGCAAGCACGTGGGAAATTAAAGGAGTCTTTAGAGCAGGAAGTTAAAATTTTAAACTCCTTCAACATAGAATTACTGTCCTTGTAAGTTCCCCTTAATTATCAATTTTGGAGGCCCCCCCCCCCAGCATGATTTTGGTGCCCCTATAGGTCAGAGATAATCAGGCCACGGCGCGAATGGCCCCACCCGCAATCTGCTCAGACACTCCTCCAGTAATCTTGTTACTATGGCAAAAACCTGACGTCAAATGATTGCGGCTGAAGTTGCATAGATACCATGTGAGTGTCTGGTAAACTGAAGAGGTATATGGATGTACAGTACTGATGTTGGGCGATGACAATATTGCATGGTTAACATATTGTGTCTATTGGTATATCTAATGTTTTTGATACAATGTCACATTTAAGCTACCTTTAAACTGTGTGTACAAATGACCTGCATTACCAGTGAAGAGAGAAGGCGACAACCAGAACTACGAGACTTGCTACTCATGTGTACCCCACATGTGAGGCTGCTCCACACTTCAGGAGGAAGAATCAACCCCACCAGGCACTCGAGATGTGATAAAGATTTTTGTTTTCACAACACTGGAAATAAAAAGGAAGCAAAAGAATTGTAGTTAAGAGAACTGTCAGGAGGTTTGGGCATAGGCAAGAAGTACAAGAAACCGAAGAATCGAAAAATGAGAGATTGTGCTTTAACGACCCGTGAAGAAAAAAGTCACCGATGAAATTGAAATGTTATTTGACATTGTCCACAAAGACGCCCTTAACATGATTCAGAATGAAGACGGCGTGTTTCTCAGGAGCCAACCAACTAACAGAAAGTGAAAAATGGCAGGAGTAAACAAGAAACTCGGTGAAATGGAGAACTTAAATCAGAAGAAGGGAGGAGTTTATGTGAAGAGTGGAAAAGGAAATTACGTGCCAGTCAGAAGCAGCAGAGACAAGTAGTGCAAGTGCATTAAAACAGATGTAACACCAACCCGGAAAAAATAGGGGAAAGTTACCCGGATGTCCACAGAGTCCAATGCTTTAAAGTCCCGAGGAGTTTCGGCTGTGACAATTATTTTTTTTCCAGATGGCCGCTGTCATGGATGAGAGGCGTTATACTACACACATAATCTATCATATCTTGGTTATTGTATACGATATAAAGGTGTTTCTGGTTTCCTTACCCATGTTCTTGAGCATGAGGAAGCAAATTAAACCACCAGAAACACAATAGGGTGTACGCTAATTAACATAAACCAAAAGTGGTGTAAATTTCACGTATGAAGGTAATCAGTGCACCAGTCTCTGTATCCTCAGTCCACAGGTGATATTTTGTACGCCAAGGAAACTCATATAACGTGATGTAGCTGCTCGGAAGCTTGACGTCGTTCCCTCACGCTGCTGGACAGGAGGTAAACAACAATGGTAAACACGTATAATTGGGAATTCCAGCAAGAACCGTCAATTACGTCATGTTCTCGACTATCCTCACGTTGCTACATATCCGGTGGTGTGGGGAGCAGGAGAGACCTTCACGATACAATAATAGCCTAAATAGAATACCGTGAAGATTAACCTTTATTGTAGGTTATTCCATCTAGATAGTGACCAACCTAACGTCTATTGTGTGGAAGATTTCCCTGAGGCTTTCAAGTGGATGATGTGACACTAGACTGTAGATGATGATGTGGCACTAGACTGTAGATGATGATGTGACACTAGACTGTAGATGATGATGTGGCACTAGACTGTACAGGTAGATGATGATGTGGCACTAGACTGTAGATGATGATGTGACACTAGACTGTACAGGTAGATGATGATGTGACACTAGACTGTAGGAAAGAGCTAAGACTGGTGTGACACTAGACTGTAGATGATGATGTGGCACTAGACTGTACAGGTAGATGATGATGTGGCACTAGACTGTAGATGATGATGTGACACTAGACTGTACAGGTAGATGATGATGTGACACTAGACTGTACATAGTGTGTCAAACGGGAAAGAGCTAAGACTGGTGTTGACTGGTGGTGACTAAGGGTAAACAGCTGTTAAGGTTGAGTGTGACTGTATCGAATCAGGATGAACTAAGTGGTAAGATCCAGTTACTCTCGTGGCCACATTTAGTTCCAGTCACTGTAGATCCCTCTTACACTATGTCCTCAACTGTGAGTGTCTTATAACCTGAGTTAATGTGGTCTATGTACCTCATAACTCACACACACACACACACACACACACTAACACACACACACACACACACACACACACACACACACACACACACTAACACACACACTAACACACTCACTAACACACTCACTAACACACTAATGCAACAACACACAATGAATATCACCACAACCCCTAATCACTACACTCTCCACAACACCATCACGATAAAATAACACACAACATATACCTACTTCACCAAGACAGTCCAGCACCCGGCACAACCACTAACCCACGTGGACCTACAGCAGGGAATGGTCAAGCATGTAGCTGGTCACCCTTCCTTCCCGAACTCGGAAACACTAATCGGCATCCCAGTACAGGCAGGTTTTGCCCGGCTTATTTCCTATCGAGTTGCACTTGCTTGTGGTGTGTGGAGTATGGCGAGTGTTCCTGGATGGTTCTCACGCTCGTCAACACCATACCTACCTGGCCATAT